AAATTACATCAAAACAGATCACAGCAAGCAATATATATAAGCACCCTAAATTTAGACTTAATAACAGAAAGAAATAACCAAAGATAAAATAAAATTATACAAAGTCATTGATTTAAATATAAAAAGAGATTAAACAATGTATGAAGTCAAAACATTAAAAAATATCCATTAAAAGACCACATATAAACCTTAAAAAAGAGTATCACACAGCATTAAAAAATCTATCCCGGGCAGTTTTTAAAAGCCAGTGGCATATAAATGTTTCAATCTGCTGATGGAAGGGGAGCAAAGATGAGTCCATCCTGGCCCCTCTATAGAGTGAGTTCCCAAGTGGAAGCAGCCACCAAGAAGGCCTCTGCTTTGCTCCCACTAAACAAATTTGGGAAGATGGTGGGACTCAGACCCCTTCTTACACTGCCATATAAAATCCAGATTATCTTCTTTGAACTGCATTATATGGCAGTGTAGACACATAATCTAGTTCAAAGCAGATAATGTGGATTATTTGCTTTGATAATCTGGATTATATGGCAGTGCAGAAGGGGCCAAAGAGAAGGGCCTCTTCAGAGAGATAATCATAGAGCCCTAAGGAGTTAAAATAAGATAATGTTTCTTTAAATAACAAATGGAAGCCGTATAATGCTTTATAGGTCAAAACCAGCACTTTGAATCATGCTGGAATCGTGAAATGAATCAGCAACAAACTGTTGCAACTAGAGAGTTATGTGCTTCTTGTAGACCAAAGAGTCAAGCAGGAATCCCTTAGCCTAGCATCATATCCTGAGAATGTTCCTCCAGGAACAAACAGCACTGTAGAATTGTATTGCTAAGCTTTGTCCCAGAGAGATATTTCAGAAGTATACCATATTTGATATTGAAATCTTGGTTGCTGTGTTTGCTTCTGATGGTATTTAAGATGGTCTTGAGGGAGGGTTGATGCAAATGAAAATGTTTTTGCCTACATGAGTTTTTTTTTAACATCATAGCCCCATTAATAAGACACTGGCTGTTCAAAAGGTCAGGTCAAATTATGTCCCTTGTGTTGGGCCTAATAAAGATTTAACATATTGCATATTGTGTAACAGTAAAAGAGGTGACTTTAGATCATACAATACTATATAGTACTGTATTATTTAATGCTTTAAATGTTGATGTGTACATAGAACTTTATGAAATTCCTAGGCATTGAGTAAAAAGATAATTAGGATACTACTCTTTTCATTTAAAAATTATTGTTCTTAAATCAATTTCTTTGAGAGCACCAGCAGCATCCCATCCTGCAATATAAAAAGAAAGTGAATGCAACTCTCTAGAAAGGGAAGCAGCTATTTAACCCTACTATTGATGAACTTTTGTAGAGTAGCATGTGCCAGGGTTGCATTCATTCCTACTTTATATCACAAGATATGCTCCATATGTTCTCATAAATAAATAATAATCAATAGCTCTGCTTTTCCTTGCCCATATTACCCTGCCTCCTGTGCAGTTCATGGAGAAGGAATGTTCAGAAGCCAAAATCTCAGTCTATAACATTTAAACTTGTTGGATTTATCTGTGGCTCACATTTCTATTACCTTTAAAATGGAAAGTGCTGTCTAAGGCTCTAAGGGCTCATCTATATTGAGCAGACTAGTTTAGTGTAAATCTGGTTTGCAGCTGTTGTCCAGATCAGCTAAGATTGCACTGGTCCCCTTATCTTCACTGCATCCTCTGTGTTGCTGTTGCTGTTTCTTATGATCAGCTGAAATGGACCTGATCACCTGTCCAGTATTCTGAAGCCCTAAAACACTTGAGAGTATCAATCAAACTCTGGAGTATTCTAGGACTTTGCCTAAATCAACGTTTCCTGAAAAACAGAGCTTTGCTTTTTAAAAGAAAATGCTTAGTAGCCGTTATTACAATATTAGTGTTTAATATTTTGACATGTTATTTATTATTGAATGACATGTATCCTAGACCAGAGGTGGGAATCATGTCGTCCTCTAGAGGTTGTTGGAATAGTTCCTTCACAGCTAGTTAGTATAGCTAAGGAACACTGGTAGGCGCAAGCTAAGACCACCAGCAAGGCCGTGTAATTCAATCATGATATAAAATGAGAATATTTTAATGTGGGTGTGACATAATAAAATGAACAATATGTTATGCCCACTCAACTGCAATGCTACACAGTCTAATACAGACCACAGTATTCTGACTAACTGAAGTCAATAAGTTCTCACTGGCTCTTTTCTTAAAGTTATTTCCTGCAGATATTCCTTCAGATCTCCGCACAGCTGTTTGTAGAACAAATACTGCAAGAAAACGCAAAGAAAGAAACAAAAAAGGAGAGCTGGGTTTTGAGTATGTGTACGTAAACTTCATATCACTTTTAAATTACTTGGTAAAAGTCAAAAAGGGTAGAGATAAATTCAGTTGTTAGTCCCATTGAGACTAACAACTTGGCTAGTCAATACTTATATAAATGCAATTGATTTAGTAGATATACAAGTAACAGTTTGATTTTATCTACAGAATATTGGGGTTAACCTAGATGTGATGTTAAATGCATGATCTTAAGGTGTCGCCTCCCCTTCAATCTTCTGTAGATATTAAGAATAATAGCTGTGGGGTGGAAATGAATCAGGATTAGGAGAATTTTTTTAGTCACTTTGAATACTATTTTTTAGTGGAACAGCAACGTATACATTTACCACTACAAGTAGTTACCACCTTTCAAGCCATATACAGCTTGGGTCCAGAACATCTGAAAGATTCTATCTCCTACATCTTCAGGGGAAGGGTTTACTGCTACCTTTGTTAAGGACCTATCACTTTCTTGATCATAAATATGTGTTCTTAAGGCATGTAAGTTCGTGCATCTGATGAAGTAGACTTAAGTCTACAAAAGCTTAGCTCTCAATTTCTTTCAGCTTTTCTTAAAGGTGTTACAAGGTCCTTTTGCATACTTAGGGGACCTGGTCATACATCAAATGATTCTTGGCTGTATCTTGTAAAGAAATACGTTGCAGCGTCAAAGCAATGCAAATTGTGATCTATATAGGTGTCTGGTCATGTATGGACCTCTTTCTTTATCGAACACATACTGATGGAAAGGGGGAATGACTGGCTTTCTGAAAGAAAGATAAAGCATTCTGTCTAACAACCAGTTCTCGAGAGGGTGGCTGAGCGCACCTCCGGTGTGAAGAGGCCCTCGAGGCCGCAGGGTGAGATGTATTTGGCCCGAAGGTGGGGGCGGAGCCAGCACCACGCCGTCCTGTTCCTGATCTTGTGACTCTGGTATGGAGGGCGTTGGGAGGGACGACGTTGGGATAGAGAGAGTTGGCAGGGTAGGATCTGGGGCCAAAATCTCCTCAGGCGGTTGGGGGCAGACTGTTAAATAATTTAGTGTAGTTTGGCTCAAAGAGCCATGCCCCTGCTCTGCTGAAGGGGCTGGTGTCATTTGAAGTGTGGCAGCAGAGGTCCCAGCCCTTTCGGGAGGGATTAGCCCGGCTACAGCATTATCAGAACCATCATGAGCCTTGGCTTTTTTAGCCTTCTTCTTTTGTGCCACTGGAGCCATTTTTTCAACAGCTGTTAAAGGTAACTCATTGCCATGACCCCCTGAGGGGGCAGATTTGATGGCAGTGTGTTTAGCCTGGGAGGGAGGAAGCAAGGCTCGCTCGTATAGCGCAGCCTTAAGACGAGACACCTTATTTTTTCTGGTCTGGGGTGTAAAAGCAAGGCAGATTGAACAGGATTTGGCCAAATGGCCCTCCCCTAGGCAAAGAAGGCAGAGAGAGTGTCCATCGTTCTCTGAATAAGGTGTTGAACAAGGAGCACAGCGTTTGAAGGCTGAAGAAGCCGCCATGTTCGCCACAATAATAAGGGTTTTCCCATCGTGGTCAGCTGTGAATCTCACATATGATTTATTCCTGCACTGGCACAGGCAGCTTTGTCCACTCTCCCTGTCAGTATAAATAGCCCGTGGGAGGGGCTACTGCCTAGTTCTTCCACCACAAGAAGCAGTCAGAAGTCCTGAGGCATGACGTGGATTAAAGAGTGGGGAGGATGGGTGGGGATGTGCGAATTCACAGGTGACCACTCGGGAAACTATGGTTACCGGTAAGCAACCCATATTTACTTAATAGAGAAGTCCAGTAATCGGTCCGTAGTCAGAATCCAGGCAGTCCAACAAGCACAGTTGACTACGATGGGAAACTACAGTTATAGGTAAGCAACTCATGTTTTCTTTTTATTGACTGATATTGCCAAGTTGGGACAGCCTGAAGTAGAAGATTCTTTGGAAGAACTCATAGCCATTAGTATCCATGAAATGAGCTCTGGAACTATTCTTCAACAACCCATTCTTTCTCTCAATACAACTCAACTGGATTTTCTGTTTGTCTCCCCTTTTTCATTTTTTAATGAAGAGTACTACATATCATTTGTTAGTCTCTTGGCAGTGAGCCCAGTTAAATTGTGGTGAGGAAAAAGATTCTGGGGTTCATGGACGCAAGTAGCTATGAGGTCTTTCAAAGAATGTTTTATTCTAGGCACAATAGGACAATATCTGTCACAGTTTCCTTGTCAGTACTGTCCTGGAGGAGTTGGTACTGTCTTGTTAAAGTTGCCTCTGCCTAGTAAATATGTTATGGTGGTATTTATAGATATAGATATATATTGTGTTTTGCTTTTTAGTTTCTCAAGAATACAGAAGGAAAGAACAAAACGAGTTGTTGACCATGCTCATGAAGTGACCGAGTGGGATGAACAGAAGGGCTTAGAATATTCCATTCTGAAAAGCAAGAACACAGAGAAGCTTTCTATTACTTCTCTCTATGAAGATACTAGCTGCACTGTTGATACTTTCGTTGAACGTGAAGGAAAGTATAATAGATAGGCCTTTGTTGGAAATGCAGCTAGGAAATTGTTAATAAGGCATCAAATTGTTGCCTATTGTAGGGTTGCCCTGAGTCCCCTTCGGGGTGAGAAGGACAGGGTAATGCGATAAATAAATAAATAAATAAATAAATAAAATTGAATGGGAAATAATATTTTCTCTTTTAATTTGTGTATTATATGTAAATGGGTGAAAGTTATGCAAGCAGAATTAGATTTTCACCCTTTTGTAGATATGAGAAGAGGATGTGGAGGAGGACACTTTTGAAGTGTTCTATGCAAAAGGTATTTGACTGCCAACAATCAGGATAATCTCTTAACTCGTGTATTTCTGTTTGCAAAGAAAGGCACCAAATCAAAGGACTATATGGTTACTTTGCTCTTGTTATTTGGAACTATGTCCCTTTTTAATTTAAGTAAGAAATAGTAACTCAATTTTATTTTTATAATACACAATTGTAGCATTTGTGTGATTTTCCCTGTCCTGAGTATGAATTATCCTGCATACAGATACTGATTCTTATGTTCTTTTGAAAAACACAACAGGCATTTAACAAGTCTTTGAGCTGTACAGGCATCAGAAATTACTTGGACACCATGGGAACACTGATAAAAAGCAGTGTTCAGTTATAGTATGTCACAGGCTACTTCGAGCAGCAGTTACATATATTTATTTTCTGATGCAGCTCAAGAAGAAATTGAAGTGCAACCCGTTTCTTCACAGTTAAGTTGCCACAGAAGAACATGTATGAAATTTCAAGCAGGGTACGATCACAAGTTTGTCAGGGAAAAGTCTCCTCCCTCTTATGATAAAACTGGTATGTACATTAAAACTCAGATGTTGCCACTTATGTTGTTGAAGCCAACACTATTTGTTGTTCATTATTTTATGCATTGACTTACTTTGTGAGTTATCAGAAAGATAAAATGTTTGCGCCTCATTTAAAATAGTGGGAACTATGATACCCTCTACGTTTTATTGAATATGTAACTCCCAGCATTTTTTAGCATTGGCTATTTGACCTATTCTTGCCTATCCTGGCTATATTGTTTTCCTGTACTCGCACAACATAAGCATATAGCTTAGTTTAATTTGCTACAAACAAACATACTGGTAGTCTTTTCCTGATCTCATGTGTGCCTGGATGTTTCCCTAAACAATTTTGTTTGCTTTTACTTAATTAATTTTCTTTATAACATAGCTAGGAAAAAATAAATGAAATAAATTAAACTGTGTGGCTTCTGAAATAATTTTGTTTGGAATAATTTTGTTTTAAAGTTACCTTATGTATCAAGAATAGTACATTTTCTCTGTAACTGTATAATTAATGGCACAGTATACTTAAAGCAGTAGTCAAACAGTGTTTGGAAGATAGTATTATTCCCTATTGTTATGGATGGAGTAAAACAGTATTCTTTTGGTAGTGGAAAAGGAGCCATTCAGGAATGTAATCTTTTCTGCCAGCCAGGAAAGGCAAAAGATGGGTCTTTTTCATTAACTCCCTAGTCTCTCTGTGCAGTTTTTTCATGCTACCAGAACATATCCACTGCTTCTTGACTACTTCTGTTTTCTTAACCTGTGCTTAATTTATTTGTGTTTATTCTTTAGTTTCTATCAGTAAATTTTAAAAATTGTAAAAAATAAAAAAAATCCTTTAGTTGCTTTTTAGTTTTAGCATGTTTTCCCCAGCCTCTAGTAAATCAGTGACCCTTCCCAAACCATGTTTTCGCCCTCTCACTCTGATTATTGGAGACATATTAAAGTTATAGGTGACACCTAGTGGCTTGACTTTGCTAATAATGTTAGCATCCTAACTTCATCAAATGTTTTCTGAGGATTTTCAACTTCTCATTCATTACATATTTGTCAGGAATTAGTTAGTTTCACTGTGAGTGGTATGCCAGGCAAATTACCACATTTTTATAGTGCAACAAGAAGAGTAATAAAATAATAAGAATATAATAAGAATAAGAATAAAGAAATGTAAAGCATTAATAACAGACTCAACCAGATCAGCTGTCACTTCTGCAAGCATTTTCTACAATATTCCTTTAGAATAAATTTGTAGATATGCTCCATGAGCATCCTGTCTTCATCAAGCATTGTACTTTGGAAAGGTTTGTATCCTGGCAAGAGGGTCCTCGAGCAGGTAGTCTGCTCTTAAATTCATTCCAATGTTTTCTTCCTTACCACATGTTCCTTCCTAACATGGGTACAGGCTTAGGTATATTCCAGTTCTGGATGTATCTTTCTCTGGTGGCAGAGAATGGTATGTTGGGGAATTACTATGAAGGTTATTCTTGCCAAGGAGAAGACATCCAGCCTCTTGGTGGCAAACATGTTCTTTTCTTTTTTTATTCTGCCTCTGGCTTTTGTATTGAACTGCATGGAGGAGCTAGGGATCTAATTAAAATGACTTAATTTAGATGATGTAATCACTTGCCTAGCCTGGGCAACAGATTAACCTATTCCTGGATGTTTCCTTTTTGGCAAGACTGGACCTTCATGGTAAATTAGCAATGTAATATTCCATATTTTAAATCATTTAAATTATTCCGTATTACACAATGAATTGTACATTGTAATAATCAGACAGTAATGGAAGCTTGCAAACCTGTTTATCTGTGCAAAGGACAGAGCATGTGAAGTAAACGGAAGAGAGTCTGAGCCCTACCCATAGTGTGCTGAAATACAGTTTAGCAGAATGTCACTGCAGTCTCTATGTGCCCAAAATCACTTACTGTGACCTCAATGTAAGAATGATTTGTGTGGATTATCACAAAAGTCTTTACTTTATGTGGTAGCATAGTTAAACCCAACAACGTGCCAACTTTGACAAATATCACAATACTGAAAGTAACATTGACTGGCCTCTTTTCCCTCTAAGAGCCCATTATTGATGATGTAATATCACATATTTTGAGACTGAGAGACAAACTTGGATGGGAGACATCATTACCAAGATGTGGATTTATAGCTGACGCAGATGGTAGAACTGATAAGCAGAAGATTATATTGCCGGTATTCTATTTTCCATTCAGTTCATTTTTAAATAATTATTTGCTTGCTGTTCAAGTCCCAAATAAGTAGTTAATTAATAAAAGAAATGATTTTAATATGATTAATTATTAAGTCCTATTAAGTAATGGTGAAGTGCTATTTAGTTTCTAGCAAGTTACTTTTTGAAACTCATATTTTTATTCATATTCTGTATTTTCCCGAAAATGGGATTCAATATTATTTAAAATAATTTGCATGACGTGGTCAAGATGGGGAATTCTGGGAATTGTAGACACCCAAAGTAACTTTTCCAGGTTCTGGTTTTGGACTGGTAGAATTGGAATTCTGTTGTTCAAGCTGGCACATTGAAATAGTGCTTCAGTTTATATCTTAGCCTTTTGGATGCTTCTTTAATGTTATAATTGCAACTAGGCCAGAAATGGATGTGTATTTGGTCAATGAACTGGGAAAGCTACTTTTCACATTACAGCTCACAGCATCCCTCAGCACTCTTAGAAACATTCAACTGTGTTTGATTTTCTCTTAAATTTAAGAAGCAAATAGTGAGTAGATGTAAAATTTATTTTGTGTGGTTTCTTATCCCTATTTTACAAGTACAGAACCTGAAATATGAAAGGGCTAGTATATTGACATACAGAGGCTGACTGATAAGTTTGCTTGATGACATACTTACAGTGGAAGCCAGAGAAGAAATGTCACAAGCTAGCTACGTTGATATATCTGTGGCTACCATTAAAATCTTTCACTCTCCATAAAATTTCACAGAACTTGCTTATTTCAATTATTAAGGGAAAATTGTCCCTTTATAATTGAAATTTGAAGACACTTTATTTCATGGCAGAATATGTGATAGAGCCTGGCTTGTGAGTCCAGAGTTCCCCAAACAGTTAAATCAATATTGTTGCAGAAGCGATAAAAAGTCACAAGGCAGCAGCAATTAGCCAATAACAAGGGAGAACTGTTTCCAAATTGCACTTCCTTGTAACTTACATGGGTATTCTAACTAGAACATCAAGATGTTCTTTGAATTGCCAGAGAGTAATTTACTAGTGTTGGGTTCTCCCACACCCTATCCTATTCCTGCAAGAACCATGTTCTTTTTTTTGTTTGCAGCTATTAACTATTCATCCCTCCTCTGACAGTTTTTGTTTTCCTACCATAACAACCAGTCATACATTTTACGTTCCCTGGCAGTTTTGGAAAAAATTAATGATTCCCTTTAAATCATTACCCAGGTGCTTGTCACATGTCCATCAGAACTGTATTTTCCACAAAGATTAAATGCTCAGACATTTCTAACAGATGTTTCGCAAACAAAAGAACAAAACAAAGCCCTGGATTGTTAACAGAAACCTCATTTGTTAGAATCCTTGTAGACTAACTGTGTTAGGGTGCATACACACAGCTGTTAAGGGAGAAATAATAGTCATGGACTTGCTGGCGTTCATGATTCACTTAGTGATATGGGGAAGATTTGGAAGCAGGGGACTTCAAAGATTTCTGATACCACATCAATTGGTGATGGGGAGTAAGTAGTTTAAAGAGCGGCCAGTGGACAAAAAATTGAGTGCAGGAATCCCAATAACGATATAAACTATATTATAGTGACAACGGATGTTAGCCTTTCAGATAACAAGCATGCTGTGACAATATGGCAGGCCAGGGATTTTGGATGAAAACATACAAGCAGTACAATGTCAATCTTATAGTGCTGAAAGTGGCATGGCTATTACTCAAATTCCATCAGATGGTGAAAACAAAATGTATTTCAGGAGGCACAGCATCAAAAGACCATGTGCTGTTAGTAACTCCATATTGGCCAAGGAGACCTTGGTTCCCCTTACTTCTGCAGTTGTCATATACTACCAAGAGCATTGCTGAAGATACCAAATTTTTGACAGAAGACACAGTACTACATACAAACCCAAGATTTCTGAAAGGAGTAATTTTGAAAGGTTCATAGATTCCAGACTTGGGATTTGAATTTAGTTTTGAATGCCCTTTGAACCAATAAGAGAGACATCACATGGCATACTTTCATTTAAAGTGGCTATTAGTCACAATAACATCAGGAATTTATGTGTTAAAGTAGGCAATGTTATCAGTTCATATCTTTTTATCATAGAGACGGATAAAGAAGTCTTATTGTTAAGTTCAGCTTTTGTGCCAAAGTGTGTTAATTTAGGAACAGGATTTAATACAAGATCTTTACAAATATTCTGTTAAAATCCATAGCATTCAAAGGAGCAGGTCTGGCATACTTTTGATGTCAGACAAGCTGTGTAAAGAGAACAAGCAGAATTCAGACAGAAGGCTTATTCATTCCCTATTATATATTGGTCCAGAAAGCATTCAAACAAATCATAGCTGGATGGTTGAAAACATATATTTATTTGTGCTATGATTTAGTTGTGAAGCCTCATTCGATAAGGTTGATTTCAATAACTGTGGCATATGCACTGTCTCATTTTTGAAAGGCATTTGCTAAACTAGGTTGGAAGGATTCAACAACATTTGTGAGGCATTACAAGATGAGTAAATTTGTATTAGTGACTGCAGGTTTTGAAAGAATGGTGCTGCAGTCAATGTTGGATTTTTTTAAAACCCTCCCCAATATTGAGACTTGGGAATATATCAATTCTAGTGGATTATTGCTCCAGCGATAATGTGGAATTGAATTTACTATGAACGTTCATTCTTGAATAGCCAGAGGCATAATCCACTTCCACTTTTGCCATTAAAAAAGAGGTAGAATAGTTAAGGTATAGATTGCTTATTTTGCGTAATTTGAGCATTAAGTTGCAATGTAACCATTTAAATGTTTGAGTAGTTATTTAGGTTGATGCAGGGCAACGTACAAAACTGTTAGAAAAGGGGTAAGTACCTAATGACTGAAATAGAAAAATAATGTGTTCCTGTCTAAGAAAGATTCACACATAGGAAAACATAGTAAATTATGCCTCAAGCCATCAAAGAATGTATTTTCTGAATAAGTCCTGTTTCACATTTAAATTTCTAAGAACTTCCAACATTTTCTAAAGCATACTTTCCTCCATCACGGCTCTCCTTTACCTAGGTGTTATGGACTCTCTGTCCTTTCTTCCTCACATGACATCATGATATCTAGTATTTCACTATCTCCTCATCAATAGTCAATGACAGAAATGAAAAAGAGTATCTAGTTCAGGGGTCCTCAAACTTTTAAAGCAGAGGGTCAGTTCATGGTCCCTCAGACTATTGGGAGGCCAGTCTATAGGTTCTTGTGGGTTTTTTCGGGCTATAGAGCCATGTTCTAGAGGCATTTCTCCTGACGTTTCGCCTGCATCTATGGCAAGCATCCTCAGAGGTGTGAGGTCTGTTGGAATTAGGACAATGGGTTTATATATCTGTGGAATGGCTGGGGTGGGGCAAGGAGCTCTTCCCTGCTGCAGTTAGGTGTGAATGTTTAGCTAGTCTATAGTTTGATAAAAACATGAACAAATTTCTATGCACACTGCACATATCTTATTTGGAGTGCAAAAATATATGAAATAACAATACAGCATTTAAAATGAACAATTTTAACCAACATGAACTTACCAGTATTTCAGTGGGAAGTGTGGGCCTACTTTTAGCTGATGAGTCAAGTTAATTAGGATTGTTGTTGCTGTGTGCCTTCAAGTCATTTCAGACCTATGTCAACCCTAAGTCTAATGTTAAGGGCGGTGGGTGGATAAATGACCTTGAAGGGCCAAATCTGTCACACAGGCCGTAATCTCATTTGACCCAAGTGTGTTATTTGGTGCAAGACATCTTCTGTTAATTTGAAGTTCAGATGTCTGTTTAGGTTAGAATTTCACTTTATTTTCCTTCACTAATCAATACTTATAAATTCTTCAAATACATAGTGTGGTAGCAAGTAACTTTTATTCTATTTTACTTGAATTTATTTTAAATTAGTCAATACTTCCCACAATTCTGGTACAATTTTAAAAAAAACATGTAAAAGATGTACATATTTTAATCTTTACATAGAATAATCTATTGATTTATTTTCTGGAATCAGAGTGTTTCATTACAGAAAGATGATGGAGAGTATGTGTACTGTCTTATAAGAAGCAGGGATGATCCTAAAGCAGCCTACGATCCTTATGACCTTCAAGTAGTTTCGGCAAATTTGGCTAGACAATTTAAAGAATATTGGACTATTACAGCTTCATATGTTTCTAAGGTAATATAAATTCTTTTCCAGGTCACAATTTCAAACTATTGACTACCAAGTCTAGCAAGGCTTATATAGCAAGCCCTTATTTCTCGTGCTGTAGTCCAGTGGTGAAGTGTGTTAAACTGCTGATCTGCTGAACATGCTGACCAAAAGGTTGGTGGTTTGAATCCGGGGAGCGGGGTGAGCTTCTGCCAACCTAGCAATTTGAAAACATGCAAATGTGAGTAGATTAATAGGTACTGCTCCGGCGGAAAGGGACTGCCAACCTAGCAGTTTGAAAACATGCAAATGTGAGAAGATCAATAGGTACTGCTCCTGCGCTCCATGCAGTCATGTCGGCCACACGACCTTGGAGGCGCCTATGGACAACGCTGGCTCTTCGGCTTAGAAATGGAAATTAGCACCAAACTCCAAAGTCAGACTTAATGTCAAGGGTAAACCTTTACTTAATTAGTCTTGTGCAAACTCCTATTAAAAATTACTTCCATTGCACAGCTTCACCTCAAGTGCCCAAAAATATTCATCAGGCTCACCCATGTTGCTGTTTACTGCCACTCAAGCCGAAAAAGAAAGTGAGGAAGATGGGAGGACTGCTTTTCTTTGGTTTGGTGAGGGACAGTAATGTAGGAACACTGCTTCTATGCCACACCAAAAAGCTTTTTATCTGCTTCTCATCACTGTCTTCACACTGCCTCCCTAAAAGCAGTTTCTTTCCTTGATCTTTTTTTCCATGCTGCATTCTCATTCCTTCTCACTTATAGTCCTTTATCTTTATTTGCATAGATGTAGACATTGTATTTGTATACATGTGGGCAAACAGATCCTTTCTTCTTTAGCTCTTCCTAAGTATGTTCCTTCTATGAATTTTTAAAAGGAAATAAGATTTGTTTGTTACAAGCCCCTACGTTTTACCCTTAACTTAGCTGTGGGCTGTAGCAAAACCCTTAATTTTGCCCTGAAAACTTGCTCTGTACTTGTACATGAGGTCATTTTATACACCTCAAAGTTGATCGCAAGTCATAGGGTCAATTCTTTATTTTTTAAAGTGGATGTAAGATTCAAAGATTGGTTTATACATACATTACAGTGAAGTTTTTGATAATTCATCATCCCCACCTAGAGGTAAGAATGAATAATGCAAAATAAAGTTTTGAGTCATGTTTTCTTTATGTTCTTTTATGGAAACTGTTGACATTTATGCTTATCTCTGATAAATTTTTGAAGCCATACAAAAATGAATGTAACTTACAGAAATAGAAATCTTAAAAGAGCATATTATAAGTCTAAATAATCATTCATCTCATGTAAAAGAAACTGCTAATGTAAAATAGTTCATAATTATGAAAGTAATTTAATAGCTGCTCAAACAATTAATTTTTGACTCTGAATCAATTCCTAAATCTGATTTTACTTCATTTTTCTAGTTTACCTTGGTGTGTGGAGAAGAAAAAATGGAAATAAGGCCAGTAATAGAGTGGTTATATGAAAGACAACTTTATTATGCCTTACGTAGTATTAAGATATGTTTTAACTTCAGGTAAGACCTTAAGTATAAGTTTGATCAAGAAGTACTCTTCCACATATAGAAAGGCATTTTCTGATATAACTTGAAATCTTTATATACTGATGGTGATTGCAAACACCAATCCAATTGGGAATTGCAATCTCCTAAGTAGAAATAGCATATTCATTGGAACCATAGGAATGCAAGGAATGAGGACATCTTCATTCCAGAATATCAAGAAAGAGAATCCACAAGGCCTGCTTCGTAGTGGATTATATGTCAGTGTAGATATAGGGCCCTTCCTTACTGCCGTAGAACCCAGAATATCAAGGCAGATCATCCACAATGTCTGCTTTGAATTGGATTATCTGAGTCAAGACTGCCATGTAACCCAGTTCAATGTGGATCATATACAACTGTGTGGAAGGAGCCTAAAGAAAGACACAGGGCACCCAAAGGACCCCAATGAAGTAAATAATAAACGTAAAGAAGCATTCCTGAGGACGGGGTGGCACTGGAGGAGAGAAGGAGGGAGGAAGGCCCGGCACCCTCAGATGATACAATGATTGACAGCGAGGGCTTTTTTTAAAGGAAGAGCTTTGAAGTTAGGGAAACCGAATGGAGGGGACATGATGTGCATGTCCGCACAGAGCCCAAGGGGTGAGGCCTGCCTTACCTGCCCAAAGAGGATTGGCTCTTTGGGCAGGTAGCCAAGGGGAGCTCCCTCTCCCTCAGGTGCATGTTCGGAGTGAGGCAGAGAAGCAGTGTTGAGGGGGGAAGACAAAGGCGTGACCCCGAGGCCCATCAACATTGTGTGCCCCCGCGCAATCCCCCCCTTTCAGGGCAGAGCGAGCCACTCCAAAGCAAAGAAGGACAACAATAAACTATACTCACGAAATGAACACTATGGTAAATGGCACATCTCAGTTCCAACACAATTAAATCAAAATGAAGCTAAATTGAAAACTATGAGAATTCGATATAGCAATACATTTGAAAAGATTGAAATAAAATAGTAAAATATGTAGTATAGTGTGTGTTACTTTGACGTCCTGCAGAAGGCGCTGTTTTTTGAAAAAAATACATTTTGTCACAGGTGTGACATATATAATAGTATGCGAAAACATAAAAACGTGCCTATTTGAATGCTATGTTGCGTCAAAAACTGAAAGCAATCAGTGAAGTATTTTGGGAGATTTAAGGTTTTGAATAAACAGACATTTAGATTTTTATTTATATAGATAACAGCAATAGGAATCCTATGACACCCTAGATACTATTGAATTACAAGTCACAGTCTAGTTTGGAAGAAGTCAGCAAAGCTATCAACCAACTAAAAATACAAAGCTTGCAGATCCCTGATGAAATATTTAAAGAGGGTGACCCACAGCTGACACAACAACTCCTCCAGCTCATTGAAAAAGTCTGGGCATCTGAGAAATCCCAGCAGATTTCATTATCCTTATCAAAAAGGGGGAAAGAGCAGATTGTGGAAACTATCGAGGTATCTCCGTTCTAACCTCTGCTGGGAAATCCACACAAGAATTCTGGCAAACTTCCTTATACCTATTTCAGAAGACATCCTTCCAAATCCCAGAATGGCTTTTGCCTCTCCAGAGGAACAGTGGATATGCTCATTTTCCAAGAAAAATGCAGGGAACAAAATCTGTATATGGCACTCATTGACCTTGCAAAGGCATTCGACACATTGAATCACAGTGCTCTCTGGACTATCCTTCAAAAAATTGGATGCCCTGAGAAATTTGTGAACATTCTGCGACTCATCCATGATGACAACAGTCTTGGACAGCAGTAGTTCCCAAAGTGACCCATTTAAAGTGAAATCAGGTGTCAAATAGGAATGTGTTATTGCCCCAACCTTATTTTCCATCTTCATCGCTATGATACTATACCTTGTTGATGGGAAGCTTCACACCCATGTGGAAATCTATCAGACAGATGGCAAGCTAGTTAACCTCAGCAGACTGAAAGCCAAAACCAAGGTCACGTCTGTTACAGAACTCCAATGTGCTGATGATAATGTAGGCTGTGATCATTCAGAAGAAGACCTAGAAGCCACTCTAAACATGTTTGCAGAAGCATACAAAAAGACTGGCTTCTTACTGAACATCAAGAAAACCAAAGTGCTCTTTCAACAGGCCCCAGGCGTTATCTGCATGGCCAGAAATACAGTTTAATGGTGCAATGTTGACAATTTCCACTACCTTGGCAGCCACCTCTCCACAAAAGTTAACATCAACACTGAAATACAACATCATCTAAGCTCTGCAACTGTAGCATTTTTTTTAATGAAGCAGAGAATATTTGAGGATTGGGACATTTGTAGGGATATCACAATGCATGTTTATAAAGCTATTGTTCTTCCAACACTGTTGTATGCCTGTGAAACATGGACAATCTATAGACATCACACTCAACTTATGGAATGATTCCATCAGCATTGCCTCTAAAAATCATGCAAATCTCTTGGGAAGACAGGTGGACAAATAGCAGTGTTCTGAAAGAAGCAAATATTACCAGCATTAAAGCAATGATCCTATGCCATCAAGTTCACTGTACGAATGCCCGTTCACTGTCTCCCAAAGCAGTTACTATACTCTTAACACAAGAACAGAAAACAGAATGTTGGTGGACAGGAAAAGAGATTTAAAGAAGGGCTTAAAGCTAACTTTAGAAACTGTGGCATAGAAAATGAGAACTGGGAAACCCTCTAACTAGAGGTCAACTATTACCAACAGGGCTGTGGAATTCAAAGAGGCACAAATGGAAGATGAAAGGGAGAAATGTGTTAAGAGGAAGGCACGTCAAGCCACCCCTTGTTGGGACCACCTTCCATCTGGAAATGGATGTTCTCACTGCAACAGAACATGCAAATCAAGAATATGTCTCTATAGTCATGTACGGATCTACTGCCAAGACCCTACACTCGGAAGGCAATCATACTTGGCCACAAGTGATAGATAGCCTGTGATGCTGACTATTGAACTGCAAATCCCAGCAACTCTGGCTAGCATAACCAAATGCTAGCAATGCTTATTCTTGGACCATAACATTAATCATTTATAGACGTTGTAGTCTTCCAAATCTGGAGTGGAAAAGGTTGGGAGAAAGTTGGTCAATCTCAAAGAGAATATGTGACAGATGTTTGCATTAGGGTTTTTTTTTTATCCAGAGGTTCTTGAATGAGGTGTTAATAAGTATTAAAAAGTGTATATATGGGGTAGTAGTATTTTTATCCAACAAGTCCTGAAATTTCACTCACTCTTCTTGAATTTTTTTTGTAGATATTAGTTATAACGCTGAAGTTAATTATGACCATTTCACAGACACTTATGCTGTATCCAAAGTCTTTCAGAATTACCGTTTTCTTGACATCCATTTTTACAGGGTCCCCCAGTTGCCATCTGAGGATCGAGTCTCTTAATCTTTTGACAGCAATTTTGTAGCACATTCAGAATTTGCCCCAAAGGTCTGGTCTGTTTCTCCACATCAAGTTCTTGTGTTCTGAGACCCTCCATGAAATTTTGGATTAACATCTTTCTCCAACTTTGGGCCACATCAGGAGTGTCTTAATCTTTTAAATACATGCTTTTCCAAGTAAAATCCATTTCTGATTTCTCCCCGTTTTTCATAAAGTCTTTTCTTTTCTTTCCAGAAAAATTAAATATTTTATTGTGTGGAAAAGCAAAGTTAAGAGATCAAAAGTAAAGAAGAGCAAGTAAGTGTGAAGCAGTGTTATGAGCACAGGACCGTTTAAGAACATATCTCTAGAATACATAAAAATTTTGTAATACCATTCTAGATGATGGTGGTGATAATAAATATTATTTGTTACCTACCTCTCCTCATGGCTCGAGGTAAGGCCCCAACACAGATAAAACACATCACCATAAAACACATACATTAAAACAAACTACCACAAAATACATACTATATTTTCTGGTGTATAAGACTAATTTTTAACCCAGGAAAATCTTATCAAAAGTTGTCTTATACGCCAGGTGTCGTTTTATAGGGCAGGTGCTGAAACTTCTGTGCTGGACTGGAGAATCTGCAGTCACCACATATAGTGGGGGGAGCTCAAAAACGGCTGTGGCTGCATCTCTGCTGTATGTGGTGACTGTATGAAAGCAGCAAGAGCGATGCTGTACAGGTACAGTAGAAGGAAATCTACTCACCAGGATTTGTAGAAAGAAGTGACTTAACACAGTCCTTGTGATGATGTGAGGGGGCGCCTCACCGGGAAGGTGTAAGTGAAGGGCAAAGCAAGCTGCAGGCGTCCAGGATGCCCGGGGCTTGGAAGATAAGCTTCCTTCCACTCCGGAGCCTAGCCCGTGCATATAACATAACTGAGATGAGACCACCTTCCCTCAGGCAAAGACCTCTACCTCGCCTTTGCTTTCTTCTTTCTGAAGAATTAGTTAATTAATGTCTGTGAAAGTGCATCAGTTCTTCCCTCCAACAGGCCCATCCTCCTTCTCCTTTCTCCCTTCCAGCAGCTTCCTTTCCTTCTCAACCCTTCCCTCCCTCCTTCCTTCCCCTTGGATTCACCACTTGATGGGCGATCTCCCTGACCACGATGACCTCTTCCCCTTCCCTTTCCTCCTCTTCCTCCTCGCCCACTGTGGCAACAGAGGAAAGAGAGAATGAAGCATGGGAGAGAGGAGAGAAGGCTCTTTTGACAGCCTGGAGAAAGAGCAAGAGAGAGAGAAGAGCCTCTGCTCTCCTCTCTCGGCTACTCCCGTTGCCTTTGCAAAACTTGCAAGGCTTCCTCCCTTCAGCAATCAATCATCAGAGGCAGCAGAGACAAAGGAGATCCAGATAGATTAAAAGCACTGCTTTGCATTTGTTTTTGAGCAAATTGATGTGTGTGTGTGTGTGTGTGAGAGAGAGTGATGGCGGGTGGGCGGGGAAGATGTTCTCAGTTTCAGCCAAACCGCAACAACACTGGTTGCACCCTCTGCTTCAAAATAACAGTCCTCACCTTTATAATCATAAATGTCCCAGCAGCT